TTTGGCGATGCTGATTGTCATGAGCCCGAGCACTCGAGTAGGGATTATGAAAATCGCTTACGTCATGGTGTCACGTGACTCTCGGTGCGAAATCGGTATGTCATGTTACGTCATGCTGTCAACAAGGTTAATACATCTAATGACTTCCTTAAATTAAATGAGGTTGACGCAGTGAGTCACGTGACGTCACGAGGTCACGTGACATTACTTGACAACGTGTAGTGACACCATGACGTCACGTGACACATGGTTAATCATAGTGCCAATACAGGGGTGCCACGAAAACCTACAATTTATCATTCATTGTAATTCTGTATATGACGATTTGATCAATACATATAAATACAGCCGCCAATTTTTTATTCCCATATGTTTATTTTGTGATACTAACAAAAAAGAAAAAAAGAAATAGTACCTTGAACCGTTTTGAACCGGTTACCGTTATATTTTTTTCGGTTCGGTTCCGGTTCAGTTCCAAGATGGCGGCGAAGATTTCGGTTCGGTTCAGTTCCGGTTCGGCTAAAAATAACGGTTCTGTTCCGGTTTTCGGTTCGGTTCGGTTCCGGTTCGACACCCTGGGCGTGAGGGCAGTGAGTGGCGTAAGGGCGGTGAGTGGCGTGAGGGCGGTGAGTGGCGTGAGGGCGGTGAGGGCCGTGAGGACGGTGAGGGCGGTGAGGGCGGTGAGTGGCGTGAGGGCTATGAGTACGTGAGGGCCGTGAGGGCGGTGAGGGCCGTGAGGGCGGTGAGTGCGTGAGGCCCCCTTCAGATCGAGCATCTTTCTCAGCAATTTTGGTGTTAATAGCGGGTTGTTCTCTAGCTTTCCCTAGATCTACACGAATTGCTGAGATCGGGGCCGGCTCGAAATAAGCAAGCAACTCGGAGCAATTCGAATACGTTTGAAGCGGCTGCATCCAATCAGGGACCCAAAATTTCCACGTGATACCTCGTGCCGGTGATGATGACACCGAAAGACTTGGTTCTGGTTTGAAATCGATCGTTTTTTGGAAATAAACTGTTTCAGGAAGAAGCATTAGTATTCTTAACGAGGTTTAAATGCATAAAAACACGTTTATAACGCGTAATTGTGTCTATATAGTGCAAGAAAAATAAAATTTTATGATGACGATGGCAAATTGCAGCAATTGGTTGCTGCGTGTGATCGCGGGCGGCCCGTGTTGCTGGTGTTGCGACGAAAAGTTTCTGGGCGAAATCGGCCTATCTGAAGCTGGCCTGAGTGGCGTGAGGGCCATGAGTGCGTGAGGGGTGTGAGGGCCGCAAGGGCGGTGAGGGGCGTGAGGGCGGTGAGTGGCGTGAGGGCGGCGAGTGGCGTGAGGGCGGTGAGGGCCGTGAGGGCGATGAGGGCGGTGAGTGGCGTGAGGGCTATGAGTGCGTGAGGGCCGTGAGGGCGGTGAAGGCGGTGAGGGCCGTGAGGGCGGTGAGTGGCGTGAGGGCCATGAGTGAGTGAGAGGCGTGAGGGCCGTGAGGGGCGTGAGGGCGGTGAGTGCATGAGGGCCGTCAGGTTCAGTGAGGGTGAGTGAAGGGCTGAAGGTGAGTGTGATTGTGGGGGTGAGGGTGAGTGAGGGGTTGAAGGTGAGTGTGACTGTGAGGGTGAGTGAGGGGCTGAAGGTGAGTGTAGCTGTGAGGGTGAGGGTGAGTGAGGGGCTTAGGTCAGTGTAGCTGTGAGGGTGAGTGAGGGCGACCTAAAATGCCGACCTCTGCTCAGAAGGAGATGCCGGTGAGAGCAGAAAGACCGAGGGTCCATGCCAGAGGCCTGCAGCATCAAAAGGAGAAAAAAAAAAGGGAAAGAAGGAGGACTGGGAAATCCCTATAGTGAGTCGTGGCCGACACCGCGGAAGCCCCAAAACCAGCCAGCGGCGCAGGCGCCCCACTGCACCCTACAGTCAGTGGTCACGTAGGGCGCTCTGCAACACCAACCTGCTCGATGGTCCGCAGCCTCCGCCACAACCCACCCCAGGGCAAACCGGGATGCTACATTACACTTTCGGTTCATTCAGCACGCAGGCGTCTGGCGATGGCACTGCAGAACGTCCTACATTCATCTTTATTTGTGGCGAGATTGTCCGTCAGTTCAACAGGGCAGTGAGCGCCATAGGTCTACTGACCGCACCAGGAAAGAGCCTCTATGACGCTCTGTGCGAGATAGAAGGGGCTGTAGGGTCCCTGTACGGGTTTTCCGCACTTGCAAAAGAGGCAGCGATTTTTCGTCACATTGGAGAACGAGAGCCAGGAGTCGCATCGAGGAGACTTTCCGACGAGTGGACAATGGGGTCCAGTGAACCGCGCGCAGCCGTTGGGCTGTTCCGATATCCCGATAAGGGGGTACCAGCGGGGACTGCTGGCGAAGGCTGGCGTATGCTGCTCGTCGCTGAACACTCTCCAGAGCAGCTACTAAGTGTACTTGCGCAGAATTCAATAACTATTTTTGTCCTTCAACGCAACGAACCGGACCTGTACCGGCACCATGGAACGCTGACTCGGCTCTTCCCCTCCAAAACTGTATGACAACTTCAATTTTACTTTTGATATATTTTTTTTCTTTCCTTCTTTCGACTGTGTGTACGTCCTGTGCGCCCTTCCCTTACTTTTGAATTATTTTATATAAAATACTGTTCTTAACGTCGGCATGCTTTGCTCTCAATTCCTCCTGCCTCTCAGGATGTCTATCGCCAAGGTGTGGTCCTAACACCTGGACAGCGGTCCAAGTCAAATTCTAAATTTGTTTGTTTCAATGGGATCTTTAACATCCGAACCTGTGACAAACTGGCGTCCGCGACAGGACCTGCTGTCCACTGTGACGATCTATCCTGAGAGGAGGAGGGTGAGCGAGTGAGTTGGCCACGCCGTAGGGAGCGCGTTGTGAGGCTGACGCCGTTGCGGGAGCACACAACCCGGCTTACCGATCGGGAGCAGAGGAGAGGTTTCAGAGTCAGACTATCCAGCAAAGGGTCCGCGCGATTTCAGCCATGGTGCTCCACGAGCTAATGGCCTGCGGAAAAGAACTCGGGCTCAAGGGTTCGGCCCTGAGGGAATGGGTGGACCAAGAGAGAGAGAATACGAGAGCCGCGAGAGCGCAAGAGCAAGAGAGGAGTGTCAAAGCGGAACACCGAACCCTAGAGCTGAGGATCAGGCTGCAAGAATTACAGAACGCGTAGCCGATCCCTGTTACCAGTAGCTCCGCCGAAAACGGGACCGGGACAACACTATAGAAGAGTCCTCAGCGTTGGCTGCCCACCTTCGACGAGAAGAAAGACGACCTTGATGCCTACCTGATGCGCCTTGAGAGACTAGCGAGCGGGCAGATGTGGCCTCGCGAACACTGGGCCACAGCGCTTAGCGTATGCTTGGCAGGGGAGGCACTTGGAGTCTTTTCTAGGCTAACCCCGGAGGATTCTGTCCAATACGATAACGTAAAGAAAGCGCTCCTGCAGAGGTTTCGGTTAACTGCGGACGGCTTCCGAGACAAGTTTAGAAGTGCTAAGCCGGAAAAAGGGAAAACCGGTACACAATATGCGGCGAGGTTGTCTAGCCTGTTTGACCGTTGGTTCGACCTGTCCGGGACGGCGAAGGATTTTGCCGCCTTACAGAATTTGCTGCTCACAGAGCAGTTCGTTCGGAGCGTTCCGTCAAAAATGTCGCTTTTCTTAAGAGAAAGAAAGAGCAAACAGCTAGGCGAAATGGCTGACCTCGCAGACCGCTATCTGGAGGCCCAAGAACAGGAGCCGGCCAGGAGAGAGGAGGCTACACCAGAGTCTGCGGCAAGTGAATCTCGACCGACATCGAACGGTCAACAGTACAAGGCCAGTAAACTTCTTAGAAAATGTTTTCTTTGCGGCAGAAGTGGACACCTAGCGGCACAGTGCAAAAGCGGTCAGAAACCGAGCAGCCAAGCTGGGACCTGCCGAAGTTGCGAAAAGTTCGGTCACACGTCCAGTCAATGTTGGAATCGGGACGGAAAATCTCAAGTTTCCTGTGTTCAAGCAAGCAGGGACGAGCTGGACGCAGTATCCGGTCATGTGAAAGGTGGCTATGTCGAGCTAAGGGACGGCACCAAGGTGCCAGTGGTAAACGCAGTGTCCGGGACTTCTCGCCTGATGGGGGACATGCCTGTAGCTGCCGGAAAACTACACGGAGAAGCTGTCACTGTTTTGCGTGACACAGGCTGCAACACTGTCGTAGTGCGCCGAAGCCTCGTACCAGACGACAAACTGACCGGAACGTCGAGTCTCGTGTACTTGGTGGACGGGACTGCGAGGGTCTTGCCTGAGGCCAGGGTGCATGTTGAGACTCCTTTCTACAGTGGGAACCTCGCGGCTCAGTGTATGGAGAACCCTTTATATGACCTGATTTTGGGTAACCCCTTAACGTGCACGCTGAGAGCGAACCGGAAGCTGGCTGGTATAGAGCGGAGAAAACTGAAGTAGGATTGCCTCACGATGGGAAGCAAGATGTAGAGATTCGTGCCACCGCAGCCATGGTAACAAGGTCCCAGAGACAGGCGGCAAAGAACGCAACCCCGCTGAAAGTGCCCATAATTGAAGGTGCACCTGCGAAACCCGAGGAACTTGCGACACTACAAAAAGAAGACAGCAGTCTAAAGGGGCTCTTCGACCGTGTCGGAAAGATAGCCAACTGCAGAAACTCGGAGGACACAGAAGAGTTTGTCATGCACCGGGGACTGTTGCACCGAGTTTTTCGGACATCAGAGCGGGAATTCTGCCAGTTGGTGCTCCCTAGGAACTTACGAGACGGAGTGCTTTGTATGGCTCATGACGGCATTCCGGCTGGACACTAAGGGGCAGAGAAAACCGCACTCCGTATCGTCAGCGAGTTTTACTGGCCCGGACTCCAGGCGGGCGTCAAACGATTTGTCAGATCGTGTGACAAGCTCCAAGACAACGAGCAGTTATTTCTTGCATCTGCATCGGCACATCAGTGGAGGGAGGAGAGTGCGATAGAATCGGCTCGTCTTCAGGCGGAGTTCAATCGCCTGGAAGAGATGATAGCACTTCTGAAAGCTGAGGAGGACCTACAAAAAAGTGCTGATAAGGCATTTGAGGTTTTCACAGCACAAAGTGAAAGCTCCCAAAGGAGGGACGCTTTGGTGCCGACAAGTGTCAACGGTTTCAATCCATAGGTAAAGATTGGTGGGCAGATGAGAGGCGCGGATGCGTCCTTTGGAGATTAAGAATTCTATCCCAGATCGACTACGGAAGCTGAAGCTTCAGGACTGACGAACCCAGGGGACACTGAGGTGCACCCCGTGGTTGTAGATAGAAATCCTAAGAAAAGCACAACGAGTGCTAGGAGAGGGAAGCATGAATGCATGAATCTATGGATAAAAAAATTAAGCGTGAGCTTCGTTTGAAATGTAAGTCAAACGCGCAAAGAATGTTGCTCAGGCAGCGCAAAAAAACGGTCATCAGGCGACGAGACCGCTCGCCGGTCAGAGACCGCCATGCAGTGGAAAGTTCATCCAAAAGACAGAGCACGTGCTATGCTAACGTGAAAATCTGGATCATCTGGAATGGGAGAGATCATGCGAAGTTTACCTTTAATTCTGAGATCTGGTTGAGAGTCACAGTAAGCGGGGAAGACAGAAGGCCAAGGCTTGGAGGTTAGATGAGTAATCAGTGAATTGCATATCTCATCGAAAGATTAAGACTGGGTTCTCTCGTAACCGGTTGTGCTAATTACTCGGAAAATATTTTTTTTGTTTTCGCTTTCGTAAGTTCGTGAATTTTTGTTATGGTATTGCAAAACTGAGTGTTATCGTTGCTTGTCAAACTTTCGGATTGCTGATGTGTTACGCAAAGACATTTGAAAAGCGAATCGGAGTTTCTCGATAGCTGGGTCACGAAGTGATTTTTGATACATTCGAATCTGTGTGGGTACCTAAGTGAAGTGTCTTCTGTTTGGTCTAGAATTAGTGTGTACTGAGAAAGCTGTAGAGTGAGTTAGTTCTTTAGCAGAGTTCAAACTGTTTCTTTTTATGTGGATTATGAATATATTTTGAATGGTTGGGGTAAATTACTGTTACTGATTGCATTGTTTCAGGACGTGCTTGAGGAATAGCAGTGGTAAAACGTGAAGAGATAGTGCGCATTGAATTTTGTGATTTTTTTTTTTTTTAATATTCCTGCGTGAATATTTTTTGAAATAAGGGGTAGTGTCACAGAATTCAATAACTACTTTTGTCCTTCAACGGTTATGGTGTTGTCCGTTCCCGTGTATGTGAGTTAGGTGCGCGAGCGCCGAGGACAGGAGCGCGGGCTTAGAATTTTTGTTTTCGTGCGAGATCGGAGGAAGAGAAAAAAAAAAGATGGGATCCCGGGCGCGGGAGGGTTATGGATCACAAACCGCGGAGCACACTCTAAGAAAAAATGAAGGAAAAAAGTAGCAACGGCGCGTCTTCCTCCCTTCTACCGACGCGCCCCCAAGCGGACACAAGTGGAGGAACGAAACGTTTTTCTCCTTCTCCAGGCAGACGGCAGAAAGCTTTCACCCTCCCGACTCATCGTCTTTCGGTTTCGTTTTTCCAGCAGGTCGCGCACGTTGTTTAATAAATAGCTGTTGAGTTGATTGAGCTTCAGCGGCAGCGAAGGCCGCCTGTATTTCCGTCTTCCAGTCTAAACGTGCAGAACGTTTCGGTTGCATTGACGTTTTTATCACTAATTTTATCAAATGAGCAAACGAAGCCGCTAGAAACAGCGATGTTCCGGAGCAGTGCCAGCAGCGCCACGTACACTGGGGGATGGCCGTCTTTGGATTGCAGGCATGGAGAATAGAAGGGTAGGAGAGGGCATGACGTCAGCCGCGTAGCCTCCACAAGCCATGCTCCCTTGACGCCTCGCCTCTTTCGCATTTTCCTTCTTACTCTCACCACATCACGTGACCGTAGCTAGCCTTCGTCTAGAGCCATTGCCCTTCGCTAGCTGTGGTGTACTAGAATACACCACAGCTAGCATTCGATCTGATAAAACCTACCGGACGGAGCGCGCGCAAGCCTGCAAGGATTCTCCTACAATCAACCATTTATCTCGCACGTGACATGTCACGCGCTCCAATCGCCAGACAGATCTGCGGTCACGCTGGGCACAAAATCGTTTTAACTTTTTATGACTAGGCTGGGTATCGGTTGTCCCTGTTTAACATCGCAGTGCTGTCGACGAGAAGACTGAGTAACTGCTTTCGAAACGGAAGTTTCTGTACCTGCGGGGGGAATCTGGCTTCGGAAATAAACACACTTCGCGCAAAGCTCGTGTTACGCTTTTATTTGCAGCTCCTCTCGTCCCGTACCATAGACGTACTCACTGAGCTCGATTTCCTCGATTGAGGTCCGCCATAATAAGGTGCAGGCGACGGAAGAACTAGTTGATCCCCTGCTTCAGGGACGAAAGTTTCTCCCTTTCTAAAGGAACATAGGTTACAAGACCGTCCCTCCCCTTAGGAAGGACTATCGATACCTTTTTTTCAAAGAGTGCATGCCTGATGTGGCGTCACGATACGACCAGCCCTGCATAGCGAAACTTGGCGTGAAGTTTTGTATTGATGTTAATAATTGATTTCACAAATATTGGGGCGTCTTTTGATCAGAAAAATATCACATCTGACTATATGTGGGCTCTCTCTACGTCACCAGCGCAAAAACTCAGTAACTTCAGGTTATCTTTGGACAATCCCTTTAAGAGTGAACTGAGTATGTATCCAGATCCTGTTTCGAGGCTTCAGGTGTCGTTCCTGAACACTGTGGCAAACCCATTTCATAGGAAGTTTTCCTATGTCGTTTTAGCCGCCACGCAACGCTCTCCGCAACCAGCTACTAGATACGGAACTTTGCAGACAAGCATGCGCTATAGCGGGCTCTCCGTTGCAGAGAGAGCAGCGGAGGGAGAAAAACGGTCTACAAAAGCTACCCTTCAGTTTATTTTAACGGTTCAGGCTCCGGTTACGGTTCATGTAAAAAAAAAAAAGGAGTTTTAGTAGACTGTTTTGATATCTCCGGAGTGATTGAAACGATCCACTAAAAACTCCGTAGTGTGTCATTATCTGGTATTGAGGAGTTTCAGCGACGGTGTCACCACCCTGGCGGCCGGTTGCCGAAAGAGAACGAGGGGGATAGGTTCGCTGGGCGTTGGCTTTGTTTTAATGCGTTGGCCGCGAACGTAGGCTTATAAACTTCGGCAGCAAGAATATTGCGCGGCTCTAATGTTCCCGTAGGAGCAACAGAGGTGACACGGTCTGCTACGACTAGGTACGACCACCCGCCGCAGCGATGCAGGCGTCGAAGGAGCGCTACCTGTGTACTACGCAGTCAGTCGCCGTCGCAGGTCGTTTGGCATTCAGGGCTTTCCGTCCCGGGTTCTTCGCTTGTTGGAACCGAGTATTATTTCCCGTGCTTATGTATGTGCTCAGTGACTGGATATGGACCTCATAGAGCGGTTCTTCAAACTCAACAGCGACTCCAAGCTGACGGCGGAGGGGCTTGCAGCAACGCTTTCGGTTGGTGCACGGGTGCGACTACACGGATAAATTTTAAGATTGCTGCTAGCAAGGTGGGCCATAGTTGCTTTATGTTGACACGATTTTGAGTGTAAGTACTCCGTGCAAAGGCGAATCTATCGCGTTTCTAATCCACCTTTGTTTTTGTTGTTGTTTCTAGCACCCACGACCGACTGCTAAGCAAATGCTTCTGTACCGATCACGGAGTGAATGACTTCGGCCTTACATTGCGGTACGCCCAATAAAAAGTCATATTCGTTCAGAGAGAAAACTTCCCTTTCGGGTGACCTTCTGATTGGTAATTTCTCCTGTACTTAAGTGCTTTAATCAACACACTCGATTAAGTTTGCTTCCCTGGTTAGGACATTTTTGTGCCACATGCGGCACTAATGCTTGGCACGATTTATGCCACTGGTGGTATTGTGAATTGGTTTACTTCCAAAGCTAACATTGTGACGGGTGGGACCATCCAATTTGCTAAAAATGTGATATGGAAATTTTGTTGCATAACTAGCGTTTTACGTTTAAGATTGATAAGAAACATGCTCATGTGATGGTGCATGTCTACAGCATAAGCTTTGCAGATCCAGAATGGATGTGCTATAGGCTACAGCCTCAAGATATTTAATGGACCAAATTCGTGATTATACGGCAAAACATATTGTGGTGGAAAACTGTGAGTTTTGATCGTGACCGTTGGTGTGCTGTTGGCAAATTAGGCAACAGCACACCTTTTCCCTGACCATCTGGCTACAAGGGACATTGCATCTAGATGTGCTTAAACAGCTTTATTTCAAGGTTCAGTGGACCCCTCCGCATCATTACGGGAAGGCAGCCTCAAGCCACAACAAACAGCAGTGAATATTCAATGCATAATAACCGGCACCAGTGTCTAGGCGTATAGTCCGCAGAAGCCAATTTGAGCCTAAAAATGTTTTTGTTTTGTTTAGATAGTTTGCATTTGGTGTATAATCCGCAGGGCCCGATTTCCGCGCCCAGTGCATAGTCCGCCAAGCTGGTGCGTTGCGTCTTCATGCTTTTTTTTTCCTGGGTTGCATTTTCTTCAGAAGTTCTTCGTCGAACACTATTGAGCCTGAAGAACTGCTCTCGAGGCCCATATCCAGCCACTGAGCACACACAGGCACAGAAAATAACACTCGGTGCCAAGTACAAACGCAGCATCGGGGCGGAAAGCCGTGAATGCCAAACGAGCGGCGTCGGGTGACGGCGACTGACTGCGTTGCGCCCGTTCGACGCCTGCATCGCTGCGGTGGGTGGTCGTAGCTAGTCGTAGCGAGATGATCTTCACTTCAAGCAAGAAATCTTGCCATACCATAGTCAAGATATGTGTGCAAGTGTTCGACGACGAGGGCTCTCTCACATTGGTGCAGTTGTCATCAAAAAAGGTACATATCAACAATGTTGCGAGTTTGAGGCTGAAACTATGACGCATACTTATCTAAACCTAAATTTATCGGTCTGCGGCTGCAAACATTTTCATTGACGTTGCTTAGATGATGCAACCGTTGAGGCCTCGCATTAAATGGTGTTGCGAACTCTTCGGTTGTGTATGAAAACCTCATTTTGCCCTAATAAATACATTTAAAAAGGACACGTGTCTTCTGCTGATACATATCTTCCAATTTACAATACAGAGGCAAACGGAAAATCAACTGCGTACATCTACCACATAGCATAAGCACCTTTTGCCATTCATTCTTGAGCACACTCAAATATCAGCTTAGGTTGCTCTTGTTTTAGAAGCTTTGCCCTGTTCTGTAAAAAAGAAAACAGTTAACGAAGCTTTACGTTCATTTTTTTCGCATTTAATACAGACTTGTTTGTCAGCAGATCACACACAGCAGATATCACCGTGGCACATACAATTCGAATGACCGATGAGACTATTGATATTACAATAAAGCTCTCCACAAGAGCCAAAACGAGGCTTGTAGGGTGCACAAGCACATCGAAATGAGATTGGCGCTTCCGGGGCTTGTTTACATTATGTGTAAAAACAGGACGATCGGCGACAAGCTGATCGCAATATAACACCAAGGGTACTGATGTTTCGATACACGGAACGCAGGATAAAGACCTCAATCGTCCCTAGTATGCTGTAGTTGTCATACTTTCCATCCAACCGCTTTTTAGCACAATTAAGTTTTAACTAGAACAACCGAAGAGTTCGAAACACCTTTTAATGCGACACCTGAATGGTTACATCACCTAAGCAACGTCAACAAAAATGTGTGTAGCCGCAGACCGATAAGTTTAGTTTTAGATAAAGTATGCGTCATAGTTCAACGCGCGAACATTGTTGATATGTACCTTTCTTTGGACCCGCGTACATTCGGTTCAACTTGATGACAGCTGCACCAGCGTGAGAGCTCACGTCGAACACTTGCACACATATCTTGAATATGGCAAGATTTCTTGCCTTCGACTGGCTTGAACACTTCATCTGTAGCACCGCGGTAGGTCTTGGTTGAAACGATGATCGTCTTGCACACGGCAACAAACAGAGAACGACACGCTTTGTTTTATTTATACGCTACCGGTCTAGGGGCGTCGCAAATCTATCCCCCTCTTGTCCGTCATGTTGGATCAATCGGAGCGCCCCCTATACTCGCTGAAACTCCTCAATTGTTATCAGATGTATTGGAACAATCTGTTAAAACCCCATTATAAACTCCATTCCAATTACAATTACAAAAAAAAAAAAACGCTCCTCAGCAGTTTTTGATTTAGGCTACGGTTTGAGTCCCTGCAGTGTAAACAGAGTTGCTTGCCTCGAAGTCGGAGCTTCAGCATACAGCTGTGATTCTTCAGCTGGCCCGCAGACATTTCCGCGCCACAGCCCAGTTCGCAGGTCAACATCCGGTGCGGGCACGTCTTGACGTGGTCCTCGAGGGTGCGGCGAGGGCAGCGGTGCTGGCACGGGTCGTGAGGGCACGGCACCTCTTTGAACTCGCACACGCCCAGGTGCGTCGTGTAAACGCTCGCGGCAACTCTGGCACTGCACCCAGGACTGCGACACTTCACCTGTGGCCGGAAGGACGACGAGGCTTTAAAGAGACCAGGAAAAAGAAGCCGGCGATGCGATGCCAGATGATTTCACTAAAGCCCTGCACGGAAAAAGTTTGATCATCCGCATCCGCGGACTTTGTATGAGTACCCGAACCGCGTCTGCAATATTCTTAACTTATTGTATCCTCATCAGGTCCGCATCCGCATATTTTATATCCGCATCTGACCCGCAATCCGCGCATTCATGTTTAAACGTACAAAAAAAAAAAAAAAGACGTGAATGAGAAGAACGGTGATGTGATTGGCCTAAGCCATTTTGGAGCACCTTTCGGAGCAGCCAGAATAATGTTTTGGAGCAGCAAATGTGGTCTTTGGAGCAACCAAAATATCGTTTTGGAGCAGCAAAAGTGGCTCTTGGAGCAGCTAAGACAGTATTTCGGAGCAGCAAAAGTGGCTTTCGGAGCATATATTCTTAGGAAAACAAAAATATTCGTCTTAAGTGCTGTTCAAACGAAGGGCACTTTGTGTTATGTTGCGTTCTGATGTGACGCGTTGTGAAGGAACTTGCTGTTTGTGTTTTTACTGTAAAGACATCCCACAAACAAGCGTACAGTGGGTGTAGGCATTGCCGAGCAATTCCGAAAAACCGCCTGCCACCGTTTTACTGGTTCCCGACATGCCAGATTTTCGTCAAAAGTAAGCAAACGTAAAACAATGGATTGCAAGCGTCCCGGCTGGTGCCTCTGTCGTTCAATCATGTTCGCATGCACGTGAAGGAAACTTCAGCAGGCTTGCAGTTGCGCGTGCGTCGTCGCGCGAGCGGAGACAACGGCTGTTGGATCAAAACTGAAACCATGCCACTCTGCACCGTCACCAAATGATTACCAAAATTGTCTGCAAAATGTAACTGTCGAGAATACGACAAAAAACAGTCCAGCGGCGCGGGTGACAGGCCGGCGAACACGGTACAAGCTAAACAAGCACACGCACACGCACGCACGCACACAAACACACACGCACACACACACACACACGAGAATCTGAGCGCATCGTTGCAACACATCGCAAGCCAAGGTCAAAAAGTTCTAGCTTTCTGCAACGACTAAACTCGAGACAAACAAGCGCGCTGTGCGCGTTCAGTGTGCAGACATTGCCGTCTTTGTTTTGGCTCACTTCTCTTCAGCAACTTTCTTTCGCAATAGACTCTTCACGTACCGGGGTCCCTCTTGGAAGAAAGCCCACCGAGAGAAACCTAGGTAATCAATACTTTGACACAGCAGTCTTAGAGTTAGAGGGATTTTTGTAGTAACGTAGAATTTAAACAAGAACAGCAATGTTGATGAACATGCGGCGGTACTTAGTTTCATTTTAGAAAGCGCCATATCTGCAGCGACATGGGGACGGCAAGACCCGACGTCGCGCGACCACGGTGACTGGAAGGGAGGGACCAAATATAGTTTCCCCAAGCCGTTGCTTTCAGGAGTGAGTGCTTCAGCTCAAAAAGTAACCCCCGCCGCGCAAAAACGTGGTTTCATTTCACAGCACGGCCGCGTGGCTGGTACCCGGCAGGCTAGTGTCGGAGCCGCCGCACACACCCACCGTCTATCGTTGAAAATATTAAAAAAAAAAAGGCGCGACATGCACGACGAGAGCGCGAAACGTGAGACGGTGGCAAAACCATGCAAGACGGGATGGACAATTGACGCAGGGTACTTTGTGTCGGGCGGTAGCTTGCGCCAGATAACACACGCATGCTCAATTACGGTACTCAGTTTAATTTCGGTTTTGAAAGGCGACTGACATTATTATTATTATTATTTTTTTTTTGCGCAGACTTGGCGCAGATTACCCATATTTTGGCAAAATGTTGCAGGATGTAGCAGGGTTAGCCCCTTGGCGCAATTTGGCACAAGTGGCAAAGCAATCACATCACTGCAAGAAGAAAAAAAGCACTTTATAACTTATCAGCCGTTTGCTTATCTTTGTACAAACAACTCTTAGAGTCATAATACAGTAAAAGTATTCTTATCGGTTTTCTTCCATCTTCCGAAATATGCGCTAAAAATATATTTTTTAAACAGTTATTTTAAGCAGTGCATATTTTATAAACATTAAAATTTATAAGAGACAGTCTAGTAACTTCGTGTTATTTTATTTAAACCAAATAATTAAAAAAGCGGGATTTAAACCAAATAATAATAATAAAAAAATATCAATGTTTTTCTGTACTGCAGTTCTTGTGATGAAAACGAGTATAAGCGCTTCTTTCGTCGCCGAAGCATAATCAGCTTGTTCGTTTGCTTCGTAGACGTAGTCGCCTCTTCGGCAAACAAATTAAGTCAACCCTGATGGAATTCTGATGATTCACCTCAGGGAGATGGAAAAAAAGATCAGAGTAGTGCAACCTAGGTTTTGACCTGACTTACATGGAGGAAGGACATAAAGTAATTCAGGTATTGCCAGGGTTAATGTATGCAGACAGCATTGTATTTGTATCAGAAACTCGTGACAAACTACAGGAACTGATCAGGATTTGCAGCAGGGAAGGGGTCAGTTTAGGCCTAAATTCCAGTAGGGGTAAGTCAGGTATAATAGTTTTCAACTACGAGAAGGGGGAACCCCTGAAAATACAGGACACAGTGACAGAACACGTAGAAAAGTACAAATATCTTGGAGTATAGTTAAATGAGGGAAGAAAGCATGTGATCAGGACATGAACATATTGTAATAAAAAAGGGGAAACGGGATTCAGGTATTATGAAACACAAGGCACTCTGGAACTATAATAGATACGAAGTCGTTAGGGGTGTATAGAAAGGAGTCATTGTGCCAGGAATGACATTTGGGAATGCGGTATTGAGTATGAGGTGAGAAATCCAGGCAGGATAGAGGTATAGCAAAGGACTGTGGGTAGGTTGGCATTGGGGGCACATGAGAATACACCAAATGAGGGAGTCCCGAAGCGATCAGTAAAGTAAACATTGAACAAAGACTAGCTGAATTGAGGATACGCGGTGGGAACGGAAAGTGTACAAGTATCTACATATAAAAAGTCTACATCAGGGGTGGCCAAGCTGCGAATCGTGAGCCGCATGCGACTCTTCGGCTCGCGGCTCCCTACCGTATACCCCCAAAAACTCTAAATACTAAGTGGACAAACCGAACCCGCAAGCCGAGATTTAAATACATTTAACGAGATGGGGCCGATCATATTAGTAGAAAATGGAGTAAAGGAAACTGAGAGGAAATGGGTAGAGAGAATGCAGGGGAAATCAGCTTTAGCAATATACAGGGCACAAAAGCAAGAAATAAAGAAGAAACAGTTGTTTGATAATTCACTGGGGAGCTCATTGCTGTTTGAAGCTAGAACTGGGGTGTTAAGAACGAAAACATATAGGGCTGAATTGCAGGAAATAGACACTATGCGACGTATGCAACCGCGAAAGGGAAACTATAGAACATGTCATTTTAAGGTGACGGCGCTTCGTCCCACCCTCTTGGGGGGCGGAGATGACTACGGATTTGGAGGGGTCACTGAGATTTGCACACACAGATGGACGAATGGATAGGGGAAAAAAGTGCAGTATCTAGGGAGGGGTGAAAATACAGATAAAAATAAGCAATGGGAACACTCTAGAGAGGGGGGGGGGGGGGAATTGTGTTAGAAGAAAAGTTATACATATCTTTAAAAAAACAAAAAAAAAAAACAAGGGATGACGAAACGTTAGGCTAGGTGGCGCAAGCTGCCGCCCGTTACAAAGGGTAGAGCCATTACCATCCATCCATCCATCCATCACCTGCCCCATACCTGCCCAGAGAAGCCATGTCACATTCTTGAACCACGTGAACGTAATAACACTGATGAACGCTCATATTCTATAGGCTCATATACATGCTCGCCATTCTCGCAAGCTACGCACTACGCCGCTGCTCTCATCTTCACGCCTTCTAACCTGCTTCTTGCTCCTATTGGCGGTGTGTGCGAGCTACAGGGGACGCTTCTCTAGCTATCATCATCATCGTTCGTGACGTCACGGGTAGGACAGACGGGGACAGGCCGCACAAATCTAGGATTCGTCAGCTCGCTTCATGCGATGTTTGGATAACGCGCGGCAAAGCGTTTCACGCATTGTGTTTATTTGGTGAAGTGATATTTGCACGAAGACATTTTACCAAAGCTCGAAACCGCACGTGGCACGCGCGCAGTCTTGCCAACAAACACTTTTAGCGCTGAGGAGTCGAAGCGTTTGGATGATGGTGTGCTGTTCTTTAACCCAGTTCAAAGAAGCTGATGAAAATATAATTTTCATCAGCTTCTTTGCTGAAATTATATGAAAATAGAATTTCATCAGGATCAAACTAATCTGGACAGCACTCTACAGAAAATTGGGTCATGGTGCCAAGAATAGGGGATGGTAATTAATATTGACAAAACTGTACTTCTAAGGATATCAAAAAAGAAAAATTTTCTACCTTATGTATACACAGTTAGCGGGTCTCCTTTAAGAGAAGTGAATAGCTATAAATATTTGGATGTAAGAATTGAAAATAACTTAAAATGGGGGAGCCACGTTTACAACATCTGCTGTTCTGCTAAGCGTACATCAGGATACTTGAAAAGGAATTCTAGATATGAGTGCCAAGCTTATGGTCTACAAAACAGTCTTACGACCAGTATTAGAGTACGCAAATGTAATATAGGACCCCCATCAGAAAAATCACATTCAAAAATTAGAGAACGTACAAAGACTTTCAGCTCGATATATACTATCCAGATATAGACGAACCGACTCTGTCACTGGCATGTTGAAACAGCTTGACCTTATACCACTTTCCGAGCGTCGCAGGAATGAAGACTAAAGTATATTTTTATAATGCATCATGGTTTTTTTAACATTGAATACACCCTGTATTTTAAACCCCGTATAACTCGCATTCTAAGAAATAGCCATTCTAAAATAATCCAGCCTTTTCAAAGTAGAGTTATGTATTTCACTGTTCTCTCTTTCCTAAAACAATAGATGAATGGAACCTTCTAGCGCATTAAATTGTAAACTCAAGTTCCCCTACAGAGTTTTTAAATAATTTGAAGCGCTTGCAGAACTAGTTTGTTCATTGTTAATATTTAGTGGTGCATGCCGTTTGCTAGTTTAATAATGTTGTCTTTGTAATATCATTGCAAATTATACTTGTTGATGCGGTGTTTCTCGTTTTCCTGCTGCTGTTTATTTCTGTACATTTTTACACTCTCCTGTAATGTATGCGGTGTTCTTGTTTTGCTGCTGTTGTTTATTACCGTTCATTTTTTTTTTACCTTCTCCTGTAATGACCCCGAGAGGGGTTAACAGTATCTTGAAATAAAAAATTAATATTTGCAACGCTTTATCCCAATACATATACAACGGTCAATAGCGTGTATTTTTTTATTATAATTCGGGGCAAAATAAAACTGAGGAAAGAATGCCTCATTAAATTGAAAATAGGAAAGCGAAATTCAAGAACCTCTCGCGGGTGTAGTAAAGACTTCAGTGAAAGCGACTCCGTGTATCCTGTTGCTCCCAATGTGTTTTGTGAGTGCTGGTCTTTTATTAGTTCCAAGTTCCCTTTTTTTTTAATTTTGTAAACCAGTAGACGAACATTTCCTCAAAATAACTGGCAGGAAGAAGCTGTGGCTGGCTTGCGGAGTCGTTTCAACTTAACTACTGCTTATTCACCCGGTTGACGCGGAACGTGCGAGACCCCCTCGCGATCGAAGTCTTGAATCTAATAAGTTGGTGACACTTTAGCGTCTTAGAAAATGAGGAATACACCTGCTATGAATTAGTGATGTGATTGGCCCAAGGTGTTTTGGAGCACCTTTTGGAGCAGCCAATACGGGGTTTTGGAGCAGCAAAAATCGCCTTTGGAGCAGGTAAAACAGTGTTTTGGAGCAACAAAAGTTGCTTTTGGAGCAGCCAAAACAGTGTTTCGGAGCAGCAAAAGTGGCTTTTGGAGCAGATATTCTTAGAAAAATAAACATATTTGTTTTAAGTGCTGGACGAACGAAGGACACTTCGCTCGCCGCAATAGACAAATATGATCAAGTTCGGCCACCTGGGAGTCTTTCAACATGTAGCTGAAATGCCAATGACATGACACATTTCGCAATGCTTCAGTTAAATTATGCATATATATGTGCCTTTATAGATAAATTAGAACGAAACTGCACATATTAAAATTTATTTGAAAATGACCAGCTTATTAGTAGATATCACAGCATTAGGTTCACTACAGTAGCTATATAATATAATAAATGGAAGCTATCTCCGACTGATGAAACACGTAACTACTGCACTGCAATGCGAAATTGTATACAAGACAAAGGTGCATTAAAACTACCGGGCGCTTTTCTTTTTGCTTTTCAAAACTTTCTACAAGGCTGCTGCAAGCCTCGCTTTGCCTTTGGCTAGTAATGAATTACCACTTTCAAAGTCTCCAAAGAAACATTGAGACATCCCACAAGTGACCAGTGCTGTGGCCGTTGCCGAGCAATTCCGAAAAACCGCTTGCCACCGTTTTACTGGTTCCCGACGTGCCAGATTTTCGTCAAAAGTAAGCAAACATAAAAAAATGGGTTGCAAGCGTCCCGACTGGTGCCTCTGTCGTGCAGTCATGTTCGCATGCACATGAGGGCAACTTCGGCAGTTTGCATTTGCACGTACTTCGTCGCGCGAGCGTAGATGGCTGTTCGATCGAAACATACACCATGCCACTCCACCCCGTCGCCAACTGGTTCCTAAAATTGTATGCAAAATGTAATTGTCCAGCATACGACAAAAAAAAAGTCCAGCGGCAAGTGCTTGACCGGCCAGCAGGCGAGGTACAAGCTAAACACACCGAAAAAAAACAAAAAACCTGATCGAGTCAGGTCAAAAAAAGACATCGCGAGTCAGGGTCAAATATGTGCTTGGAGCGCTTTGTACGACGACTGAAGCACTGAAGCGTCAACACACGCCCACGTCTATCGTTGAAATAGTTTTTAAAAAGACGCGAGACGAGACAAACGAACGACGAGAGCGTGAAACGAGAGGTGGCGAGAAAAACTATGCAAGACCGGATGGACGATTGATACAGGGTACTTTCTGCTGGGCGGCCGTTTGCGCTACCTAGCTCATGCATGCTCAATTACGGTACTCAGTTTAGTTTCAGTTTTGAAAGACGACCAAAATTGGTCTTTTGGCGCAGGCTTGGCGCAGATTACCCATATTTTGGCAAAATGTAGCAGGATGTAACAGGGTTCGCCTCTTGGCGCAGTTTGGCGCAATTAGCGCAGCAATCCCATCACTGGAATTACCACCATTTTTATGTTTCATTTTTGCAGACCCAAATGCGCATAATGCGTGATGCGCTGCTCAGTGAGCGATTTTAAATTTGTAAACAATTCTTTGTAGAAATGCGATAGAACAGATTAATCAACCTCCTGAACTTGCCGGGCCATGGCCGACAATTTAATAATTTATGAAAATTTCTGCTTTTTTTTCGAGCGGAGGACGCGATGTGACAAACTTTTTATGCCACGAATTCGACTCGGGAAGAGCTAAGCGTCAGTTGCTGGCGAGCATTTGCTCGGCAGCAACTGTCGAGTCAGGCTTGGATAGAAGCGTCGGTATCGGCAAACTCAATTAAGCTAAAACAAGTGTGCGGCGCTTTGCATGCACAGCTAAGAAGACAGCACATCATTTGCTCTGGTGAATGCAAAACCTTTTTCTAAAGCAGCCTCCACAGAGCCGAAAAAAACAAGAGTCAGAGAGGCTGTGGATAGATAGCCCCGACGCACGCCGCACAAGCTGTTATGTAATAATGTGAAGCTCCAGGCTTCTTTTTTTTTTTGCATAAATAAACAGTTTTAATCTGCATAGATGCGAACTAACATGGCAACTCCGTGCTTCGACATAGCACATGGTCTGCATGCATTCTACCAGCTGCGTCACAGGAGGGTGCCCGCGAGGTGGCGCCACCAAAACATCTCGTCGCCAATAGTGAGTCGAAACATAGGATTCCATTAATGACGTCGGCGATGTCGAAGGCTCCGTCGTCTCGAAACGCGGGTGGGAAATTAGGAAGCTGAAGGCTGAAGCAGACTGAATGAGCCAAGTGGCGAGTGCACGCAAGAGATGGTCGGAGATGCGCCACCGTGCTGCCAGGGGCACTGGCAGATATGTGAACGATACATGGAGAGGCGATGCAGACTATGACACCGACCCTTCAAACATGGCGGCCTTCTCCACGAAACTGACGCATTGTTTACAAAACAAATTGATCAAATTGCCTTATGTATGCAACATGCTTAATCTAACCACTAATAGTTTATGGCACGGTTTCTTTATTAAATTCAATATAGAACTAAGATAATGACTCGGCACACACCTTGACATTTCCTACCATGTTCCGGATAAGTGGATGGGCGGGCACGAGGGAGGCAGCCTGCACAGACACCCGGCACAGGGGACAGGTGCTGTTTGTGCTCAGCCACATCGTGATGCAGCCCTTGCAGAAGACGTGACGGCAGCGGCACTCCACCGGTACTCGCAGCAAAGCACGGCAGATGGCGCAGGTCAGCTCCTCGTCCAGTGGAAGGTCGCAGTCCTCCCGGAATATTTCTAAAAGTATTGTAAAATCCCTTGAGAAAATTCGCATTCCGCAATTTAAGTGCTCTCGGACCGCTTGCTATTCGTCTCATTCTGAATAATTTCTTCAGTTAACTGTTTTATTTGAGAGGTAATACAATTCTCTTTCCTCTGCTATAACTTGTTTTGTCTTGTTTTAGGTTGATTATAGCATTGCGAATAGGGAGGCGCAAACTCTCACTTGCTCCACTAGTTCCCATTTCGTGAAAAGACCATTATAGATAACACGAGTTTATGATGCTGTCTCGTTAGGAAGATATGACCAGAAGTGAACAAGGGCTTTAAAAAAAATTTTTACTTCTTTTTATACAGCTTCCTAAAATCACAAATTTCCAGCACGAATATTTTCTCGATTATATATGATAGGCTTAACTACACTTTTAGTTCTTGGCACTTTTTATATTCACGAAAATTTTCAAACGACGGATTAATGTTGCTGACAAGATATTTACTGAAAAAATAGCACTATTTTATGTTTTAGATGATGGGAGTTCTCATTTTGTTTAACGGGCAATTGAACGATGTGACGAGGTGTAAAACCCGTAAGATATGAGAATATGTGAATGAGGGCTTTCGTTAATTCTTGAAGTAATACTGCAGCAGCTTGTCAAACTTTCCAGCCCTTGATGCACTTGCTTTATGGACATTATAGAATCAATGGCATCTAATGAACCGGGTTGTAATAAATAGACATACCGTAGTATTACAAGAGATGGGCCACCTAAAATCGAAAGCAAATCGGGTGAAAATAGAGTAGGCTAACTTTCAATATGCGATGAAGCTTGAAAAAAAATCATCCCAGTCACCAATGTTCGCTTATCTCCCTCTATGGCCAAGTAACACCATTTCTGCCGAGGTCACCATTGGCCAGGCACCTGCAAATACTACAAGTGTATTTCGGTGTCTTAAAAAAAAGAAGAAAAAAAAAGCAAATTAGGTTAGAAATAGGGGTGGGGCATTTCTCGGGAAATTACGTAATGTTACTATATATATTTCCCTCGTGATTGGCATCCGGGCTTCTCGTTTAGATAAAACTTAAGGTAATCTAAAAAAAACAAGAAAAACTGTTTTTATGCGTCATTGCAGCAGCTCGTGGGAGTCCGCAAAACTGCTGATTCCGAACGTTAAGGAAAACTTTGAGGGTGGCGCTGACGCCTTCATTATCCTCATTGTCAACATTTTTCTAGCTCTGCAAGCCGAAAATGCTTGCACAGCCAACCTGGCGAATGCGCTTTAATAGTTTAGGTTTATTATGGTGGACAAGAAAAGAGAGGTGTGGGACCAATAGCAAGTTGCTCGTCCCAGTGGCCATAAACGGTCTGACGCTTCATGCCACATGTATCACTATGACCATGGTACCATCTTTATGCTGGAAGCTGCACCGCATGCAACTGCTAATACCAGGTTAATTTTTCGGAAATTAGGCACCAAAAAAAGATGGAGCAGGAACAAAAAACACACAGACAAAAACCATAACGGCTTGTGTTTTCATTTGCAGCTGAACAATACCTCTAAAGAGTGGGACAGAATGTTCAATATGTCCATTTTCGTGAGGGTTTCATTTTATTCTGGTCCTGGAATGCAAGTATACCGATTATGCACCTATTTATGGGCAACTGAAAGGTCTCGTTATTATACTCTCCAACCGATCATTAAAAAAAAATATTTAGCTCCCAAATGCTTACAGTGCAAGTAAAGACACAAGCGCATGAGCCTATAGGGAGTATTCACCGGCGGCCATATCCGTGTGCGCTACTGCTGAGCGCGTGCTGACGGCGAGCTTCCGCAGTCCTTTTTGGAGCGTGCCTTTAGCACCATCAATGTTGTCGGTCTTAGCAGGCTATTAATTTGAGCTCGTTCTGAGCATGCGCTCTAAACATCGCCCTCAAATATGGCGTCCAGTGAATACCTCCTATACCACAGTGAAATGCTTTGTTTGCACGAGAACTCGCGCATATACAGGAACTCATCTCTGTTACGTCACGGCGCGGTGGTGGCGCGTCGGGCGCACTTTCGGTCTGGGGCTGTGGGCGGAAGTCGCCATGTGTGACGTGTATTCCTGCGTTGTTTTGAAAGGAACCAGACAAAAACCTGCCTTCTCGTCAATAGCCGCGACTGGGGCTCTACCAAAAGAGTCGAGAAAGGTTTGAGAGTCAGTTTTCATGTGCTCGGTTCGTCCGAGAATGTGGATATGTGCCGTGTGCCGTGAGAAAGGAAAACCAGTCGCCGTCGGACCACGATTGCTTGGGCGGGAAGCACTTTGGGTTAAATTCACGGATACTTGTGGTCATCAGATTTATTTGTTTTGTTCTAACATGAATGCCGGAAAACCGTCAAATTGTACAGACCATCTGAGGACTACGTTAAGTGCGTCTTCAAGTTCAAACCGCCGCCTGGTCGTTCGAACTGACGTCTGCTCTTTCAAACGTTTCTGCTTGTTGTCTGCTATTTTAGACGACACCGGCCCGTAGACCAAATGTTGGCCCGGTACTTGCGATAAGCAGTGAGTGCAGGCCTCAAAAGCCTTAAGTTTGAAGGTTGGTAAGCAGGCTGGATGTAAACAGTAGATACTAGATGTTGATCATAATTGTTACCAGTGGCGATCACTGACTTGTTATGCCTGATTCACTTGGTGCGATTCTGCTTGCTATTTTCAGTATCGACGTCGACCATCTCAGCTACGGTTCACGCTTTTGCAGCCCGAGCGACGTCGCAACTGAAAATTGCGAGCGAAATCTCATCTTGCGAATCAGGCTTTAGCATACATTCTGCGGCGTCCACGCAGAATGAATCGCCGCAGGTCACATTATTCACGTTAGGTTTTGCGGTGTAACGAGCCTCAGTAATTTCGCTGAGGCCGCTCAAATAGTCAGACATTGCCAGGAAGACGTAGAATTAACAATTCTAACGCGAAATAGGGCAGGGGGACTCACATCGACGCCGACAACATCGCATTTCAATGGTTCGTCTACGGGCGACGGCGAGCTTCCTGCCCACACTTCACTGCGCATGCGAGGCGACGGTGGCATCCGCTAGGGGCGCCCAGGTTTGTTTGTAAACATGAGTTGGTGTATAAGGCACTTTCCAAAACCACACACTAAAAAAAAAATGAAAGCCGTTTACAATTCCCTGTAACGCCGGTTAGAGCGCAGCTCTTGAGGAGGAAGATGGAAGCGTAGTGAGGGATAGGTGACTCCTTGAGGTCACGTGACCTCAAGGGGGTCACGTGACTTCAGGGGGTCACGTGATTTCAGAAGTTCACGTGACCTTTGGGGGTCACGTGACCTTAGGGGGTCACGTGACCTAAGGGGGTCACGTGACCTCGGGTGTCACGTGACCTGAAGGGTCACATGACCTTGGGGGTCACGTGATCCCCAGGTCACGTGACTTCTGGGGGTCACGTGACCTCAAGGGGGTCACGTGACCTAGGGGTGTCACATGACCTGGGTGGGTCACGTGACCTCGGGGGGTCACGTGACCTCGCGGTTACGCCGACGCCAACGGCGACGCCGACGGCGACGCCGCTCAAGCCGGAAACGGGCCCCTAAGAGCTGCGCTCTAAAATTATGTTGCTTCAGAGACGTATACACCCATGACATTATTCCTTCCAGCACCCTTATTTTGATATAATACACACTTTTCTATTGTCAATTAGAGTGCTGCTGCACTAATCGAACACCCTTTATTTTTAAAGGCTGTAGAACTAATGTGAAACACAGTGCTATGATCAATTGAGGCAGCCTTTTTTTTTGTTTTAGCTACAACCTCAAAGAAAGTATTGCCTGCACGAATGCCTTTTACTTGGCGTTACATTCCTCGAAAATAGATATATTATGCATTACAAGAATTATTGACTAGAACAAGGCACTATACGTGTTAACTTCGTAATCGTGGAGGTAGTCAGCTGCAAATTAGTATTTTTGAATTGTCGAGTATATGAGGCGGTAGAGCGGTCATCAGGGTCATGGTTCTTCTCTCGTGCGTGAGTCCTTATGTCTGCACTTGCTTTTTCTGTTCATGTAACAACTGCATGTGGTGCATGTTGCTTGTAAACTTGCTGCTCCTAAAAAAACAAAAAAAAAAACATCCCTTGGATTTTGCTAAGATCGTCTGCACCATAGATTTAGTCTGTTCGCCATCCTTCAAAGATGGTTGCTTAACACCATTAGGCTGCTAGCCGTGGAGCACTCACGCCCATGCCTTAGGCAGCACTCAAGCTTAAATCATGTTCTTAACCCGTTATGTACTATATAATAGGAAACTAGCACCATTTCCTTCATTGCCTGCTAGCAGGATGCAAGCATGTACTAACATATAAACGAGCAGAACCTCACAAGGCGATTGGCTAAACGGTATTTGCTGCCTTAGCAGCCGACATTTCGGTCCTTTCGAAGCTTTGAAGGGACCATTCTGAACCAGCCGTGTCAATATCGCGATGGCCCGTCACCGTACTCACTATGGCGCATGCCATTTCTAGCGCTCGAGACATGGGACCCGGGACTCGTAACCGCTTGCCTGCGGGCCGCCTCCCAGCGAGTCGCCTGTTTGAGACCCCTGCTTTAAACCAACGGTACGTCAGGCTGACACGGGGCAGTTTCTTTAAAAACACACTCTGTTTAATTACTTTTTTGAAAATAAAAACATATTTTACAAAATTATAGCACGACTTTTCAGACTAATCATGATCTTTTTTTATGCAAAAATGGATAAGTAAACCAATACAGTCTGCATATCTTTTTTACCAGGTGGTAGCTTGCGCCACCTACTTTTAAACTCTTTTCGGCACTTTTTGATTGCTACACTAATTTATTTTCCCCTAAAACCGCCGTTATTATCACAGGGCAGGGGAAATAATCACCAGTCGGTTCAGTTGATGAGGATAATTACGATTATTTTTGTAGCTACTTTCCTTGAATCG